GGTGGCTCAGTCATTGAGCGTCTGCCTTCGGCTCAGGTCATGATCCCAGGGTCCTGGGATCGAGCCCCACATCGGGCTCCCTGCTCAGCGGGAAGCCTGCTTCTCCCTCTGCCACTCCCCCTGCTTGTGTTCCCTCTCTCGCTGGGTCTCTCTCTGTCAAATAAATAAATAAAAATCTTAAAAAAAAAAAAAAAAAGAAAGAAAGAAACACTGTTGGTGTAGGGTCGACATTTCAATTTCTGGATGCAGAAGGGAACCAGGTAGGTCAGGAAGTATAAGCGGTTGACTAGCAATGCCCCCTCTTGGCTGGTGCGTACATACTCGTGGTGGATCCACCTGCACCTTCCTGTGTCTGTGGGCATAAACACAGTTTGATAGCTCTTTAGACCAGTCCTCTTGATCCCACCAAAGGACCAGACCTCACTGTCCACCTCGGTGGACTTTCCCCTGGACATTTCATGTTTTTAATTACAATACTTTCTTTCTAACTGTATTTCATATAAGAGTTCCTAGAAAAGGCCTGAGTCCTAGGGTTTATTTTAAGTGTCACATGTGGAGCTTTTTATTTGTTTAGTTTCCCACATCATCATCATCATCATTATCACCATCATCATTATTATAATATAAAGAAAGCTTCACCAGATAGGAAGTAAAGTTTTAAGGAGCTACTTCAAGTTCTAAGTTTAGAATTCACATAACCAAAACCAAAATGGGTCGGCCTCCATGTTTTCTCAGAAAGCCAGGCTGTTTTTGTAAGGACTGTTGTTTGGAGACACGCTAACTTCTGAATGTTCACAGTGAGACACTGCTCAGTACCTAAAATCAGTCTTTTGTTGCTGTATTTTAAGGTGCTGGTAGATCTTCTCTCTTGAACAAATATGCGTGTTTTTGCTGCATCCGCACGACAGTCCTCCCTGTAGGGTAGGTATGAAGACGCCCATATTTGTGGTGTGGCTTAGGTAGATGAAGTCAACACTGGCTAACCAGGAGCGGCGTGAGACTTGAACGCACAATAGAACCCCAAAGCCCTTTTTCTTTCCATGGGACTTGTTTTTTTTTTTTTTTTTTTTTTTTATCTCCATGGGACTTGTATTTAAAGTCAATTTTTAAGTAAGAAATTTCCATTCTAGGCTCTTTAGCCAAAATGGTCCATATCTCTGATTTGCAAATACATATCCTGGAAATCTTTGATGCAGATCGATAGCCGTTATCAGTCAATTTAAAATTTAAATTCAGTGGTTCCAGTTCCAGAGGTCACACCATGACATTTGTGGTACAGTTCTGCTCATCCACTCCCCATTGCCATAGAGTCAGATGCAAACTCATCACCGTGGCTTACAAGGCTGTCATCAACCCTCACCACTGCTCTGATTTCTGAGATACAGTCGTGCTGTCTCTCACATCGGGCTCTTTACTGTTGCTGTTTCCCCACTTCCCTGCCCCCTCCAACAATTGTATGCACTGTGAGCCCAGCTCAGACAGAAAGCATTTCTTCTAAGAAATCACTCCTACCCTCCCTCAGATCTGGACTGTGCGCCCTTCTTGGGGCCCTGTCAGTGCCCTGTGCTGTTCAGTGTCTCTCGCGCTAGATGTGGGCCACATGAGGTGGGGACGATGCCTGTGTGGTTCACCGGTGTTTCTACACCGCCTTGCTGGGCAGCTGACATTTTCAGGGATAATCTTTTCCATCGCAAATAACGTAAACCCAGAGAAACAGGTAATTTATTTTCTTACATAACTGAAAATTCCAGGAGGATCTGGTTTTAATGAAACCAAGTCCCCAGATGGTTGTTGTCAGAGATCCATTCCTCTCCGTATCTCAGCTCCTCTTTCCTCTGTTCTGGCTCATGCTCAGGTAGTTGCTTCTCAGTTGATGGCAGAGGAGACACCAGGGGCTCCGGGTTTGGAGCTTTTTGCTTGGCAAGCCAGCAAAAAGAGAATATCCTTTCCAATGGCTGTAGCATGAATCCGGGGGCACACTCTCCTTGGCCCAAGTTGGGTCAAATGCCCAACCCTAAGCCAGCCACGTGGCTCGGATTGGCCAGGCCTCGGTAATAGATGGAAAGCAATTTGTAGGTGGGGGAAGGCAGTAGGGTAATTAGACCCAGCCAGCCAGCATCTTGAGCCCTTTCAGGACCAAATGAGCGCCGAGGGTGGGGTGAGGCTGATGCTGGTCCTGAGCAACTCCATTCATTTCCCCTGCTGGCCTGATTTTGAGAGCACCCGACCAGTCCAAGAGCGATTAGAACATAAGGCAGCCCCTGACCTCCCAAAGCTTCCTACAGGCCCTAGAATTAACCTTCTTTAGCGGGAAGAGGCCTGGCCCCTCCCTCAGTCTTGGAAGTGAGGCCCCTTTGGGCTGCTTCACCTCCTGGTGCACCGAAGGGAGATCCTAAATGAGCTGCCACTTTCCCATCAGGGGGTGAAGACCTTCCCAGGGACTCACTCCCACAGCTCTCTTTGTGGCTTCTACGTGGTAAGCCGTCATACGGTAGAAATTATAAGTAGCTCACTGGCTCCAGGTGCAGGACTTTTTTTAGCATATAAGTGAGTTTGTTAATTTGTTTGTTAGTTGGTTGTGGGGAAGATGTATGTGACCTGAGGATGAAAATGGGATCTGAGGGGGTGCTTTCTGCAGAGCTGTTTCCTGCCCAGCTTGGGCATCGGCTGCTCAGTGTGTCTGAGACATGAACAAATAGCTTGTTTACTTGCAGAGAAATATGCTATCAGCCGGGGAAGAGGCAGGATTTTTTTCTTCCTCTGACTAAATTATTTGAGTGTGGCATAAAAACGAAAGCACCCAAAGTAACAACAGAACAGTTTAACCAATCATACATATTTTTTAAATTAACTATTTATTTGTTTATTTTTTAGAGGTGAGGCAGGGCAGGGGGAAGAGGGGAGAGAGAGAAACTTAAGCTGGCTCCAGGCCCAGCAGAGAGCCAAGCACGGGGCTCCATCTCACAGCCCTGAGATCCTGACCTGAGCCGAAATCAAGAGTTGGACGCTTAACCTACTGAGCCACCCAGGCGTCCCCTCCCCCAATCATATATATTAAATATGAGTTTATTGCAGTGCTTTTCTCTCCATTTGGCATGTTCCCTCCTTGATCTGACCTGATCTGTCAAGACTGCGTTCAGCAGGGCACATGGAGAGAGCACACACTTTGGAAACAGGCCCCCTTGGATTCAGATCCTGGCACACGCAACTCCTAGTTGTAGTCCTGCCGCGGTAAGACAAAAGCGGTAAATGCCTATCTCCTTGGGTAAGCTGTTGAGTGTTACATGAAATGAGGACTGTAAAGTAGTGGAATTTAGAGGGCTGGTCCTCAGTCAACAGTGGTCATTATCACTTCCCCCCACCTGCTGCTTGGAAGGCCTCTGCACCTGGAGGTCCCTGTGGCCTGGTCTGCCATCAGGGGCCCCAAGTGAGAAGACTGGTGCCTGCGACATGCACCCAGGCATTCTCAAGGAAGATAAAACAGCCAGCGTTTCCCGGGGTTTGTGGTTCTAGAGCTCATCGTTAGTGATGGGGATCTTAAACTCACACGTAATTACTGGGCCTGGAGGCCACCCATGCCTGTGGGATTGCTGGCAAGAAGTTTTTCAGTCTTTTTTCATGTGAATTTTCATGTGAATGCATTTGGTTTTGCTGCCAGCAGAAGAGTACCCCAAGACTTTTAGCAGAAGTTCTGTGATCTCTTGAGAGGGAAGGTGCTGTACAAATCACTCAAGTACACAAAAAGAGGAATCATGCCAAAGCTGTTTTTTGGGAGAGAGAAACTCCAACAGTTACCATGTGGACTCAGTGATTTCCTACCCTCGTAATTTCCCGATTCACCCCAAGCACGGGCCCTTTGTGGCGTCTGCTCAGTGCCCTTGACCCACCCAGACGTGGTATGTGGAGGGACAGCACTGGCTGCATTCCCAGGCACTGCTCCTGGCCCTCCAGGTTGTCAGTCTCCTCCCCTGAGGTGTGTTTTTCAGCTTATACTAATTTTTGCCTTTTAGTTCTGACTTGTGGCAGCTCGTCTTGAGGCCTGAATAACAGAAAGGATAACGTCACTCCCTCGGGAGACTGAGTCCAGGACAGGCCGGGAGATGAGTCCATGGCACAGGATTGCCCTGGGTTTCAGGAAGATGGGCTTGCCGGACCGTGTGTTCTCTGTCCCACATCTGCTGCTTATGTGTTCAGTGTCATGGAGGACTCCAGCCCTCCCATCAATGTCCTGACAAACGGCAGAGTTTAAGAAGGGGTCTTCTTTATGCCCTTACACCTCTTATTTCTTTTTTTTTTTTTTTAAGATTTTATTTATTTATTTGACAAGAGAGAGACACAGCGAGAGAGGGAACACAGCAGGGGGAGTGGCAGAGGGAGAAGCAGGCTTCCCGCTGAGCAGGGAGCCCGATGCGGGGCTCGATCCCAGGACCCTGGGATCATGACCTGAGCCGAAGGCAGACGCTTAACGACTGAGCCACCCAGGTGCCCCCACCTCTTATTTCTTAATGAAGTTAGTCTTGGAGTTAAGAGTGTTCAAGAACCTAGTTTCAAAGTGACTCTTTCTTGGTGCCCTTCTCAGAGAAATGCTTCTCAGAGAGTGTCAAGTCTGATTTGTGCCTGAAAGGATCTTTGTTTTTAAGTAGTGCTTAGTCCCGGATCGGAAGGCTGTCTGCTGGGTTTAGGAAGGCAGATGGTGCCTGACCCTGAGGATGGGTCAGTTACTGAGCAAGCAGCCCCCACTGGGCTGAGGTCAGAGGAATTCTGTCCAGCCAGCAGGATTGGGCTCCATCAACCAGCTGGCCCTCTAGGAATCACATGTTGAATAACAGTCCTTTAGAGTAACTTCCTGGGGCTCCTCATCTTCTTGCACTGAGTGGGTCTCCTGGTATTGGGGCTCCGGGGTGGGGGTGGGGGGGCAACTGCACATTCGGGTTTTCCCATTGCATGACAACTCTGAGTACGTGCTGCAGTTGGCCACAGTGTGTTGTTTCTCTTTCCAGCATCCCAGTGCAACATCAGCTTAAAGAAGCCGAGGAGCCGAGGCATCCTTAGCTCCTTCTTCTGCTGCTTCCGGGACTACAATGTGGAGGCCCCGCCCACCAGCAGCCCCAGTGTGCTTCCACCACTGGTGGAGGAGAACGGTGGGCTTCAGAAGGTCAGTGCCGGGGCGGGGAAGGGGTGGGATGGGGTGGGGGGACTGTGCACTCAGCAGAGCCTCAGTAGCTGCGTATCTGTCCCATCCTTCTAGAACATCCTGAATAAGGGATCTATAATAGCTTTGTGTACAGCCATTAACTTAAAGATCTGAAATGACCAAAAAGGTCATCTTCTTCGTCAGAGGATATCTCAGTCATTCCCGTTTAGCGACTGAAGCACATAGATGATGAGAGTTCTAAGAATCTCTTCACTTTTTTATAACATTCTGTCTTGGGAAGTTGGCTGCATGAAACGGAAAGCTGAAGAACCCGTAGCAGAGAAAGACATGGGAAGACAAACGGAGAAACAGAGGCATGCCAAAGAACCAGTAATAAGTATAAATGGGTTTAACTACGTCGTTTAATAACAAACATATTTGTTATATGTTATTCTTTTATATCCATCAGATACAAAGTTTTAAGTCATTTTCACAATACGTTAAAAAAAAAAAAAAGCAAAAAACTAAACTCTGTCCACATGCTGTTTAACGGACATATCCTAAGCAAAGTGACTCAGAACAGCTAAAAGTAAAAGGATGAGCAAGATGTCACACAAGTATATAAACAAAAAGAAAGCAGGGATTGCTACATTCATTCAGTCAAATAGAATTTCAGGTAACAATCACTGAAAGGCCAAGATTATTCACTGTGAAGATAGTTGAGATTGAGGACACAAAAACCATAGAACTTTATGTCCCAAATAGTGTGAGCAACGGACCTGAGCAAGCATTTCACAAAATAAGAAATACAGTTGGCCAATAAACATGAAAACATGTTCAGTATGATTAGTAATCAAAGAAATGCAAACTAAAACAGTGACATAGCCTTTTCCATCTATCAAATTATCGAAGATATTTATAAAGATAATAGGTGGATTTGGATGAGGGTAGCCGCAGAGAGGGTAGAAGATATAAATGGGTTATTGGTAGCCATTTAATTGGTTACACCTTTCTGGAGGGAAATTTGACAATGTAATCTTAAAACCTTAGCAATTATTTATTGACATAGATGTGCAAGGATTGAACTATGGGATACTGTCCAGCATAGATTATAATATTGCAAAAGTGTAAGCAACCTGATGATCAACAACAGACAATAAAAAACCCATAGAATAACCATGCAATCAAATAGTGTGCAGCAATTAAAAATAATGTCTCATAAATATTGCTGACATAGGAAAATGTTCACCATATGTCACTTAGGGGATAAAAAAACTTGTAGGTGAGTATATTTATATTAGAGGATAAAATGTAGTAGGTGAGTATATTTACAAGTATACATGTAGTCATACACACACACACGGGCATTTATAAGACTAGAATGATATATGCCAAAATATGAAGAGATTATCTCAGACAGATGGGATTATATATAGAATTTTCTCCCCTCTTCTGTGCGTTACTTCTTTCTCTTTTTTTCTTTTTGCTTTTCCCAGTTTTCACAAAATAAGCTTAAATTACTTTTGGGATTAGAAAATAAATTACTTTAAAAGTATATATGAATGTAAGAAAAAGGATTCTGGGAAGGTGACAATCTGAGCACGTGGCTCTGACCATTTAAATTCTCTCTCTGGATAAACCCAGGTGAGCCTGCTGGTAGAACCTGGAAAGTGCATTAAGGACCCTATAGTTTTCCCGACATCACTAAGGGAAAGAGCAGGCACAGGATTCGTCCTCTCTGGTCCTCAGTGAGAAGCAGGGAACTACCAACAGAGCAAAATGCTTGCTTGTCTTGGAGTCCTAGGACAGAGACTTGAAGCGGATAGTCCTATGAGGTCCCCCAGCCAGCAAGAGCTGTGGATCCCCTTGGAAAGGGCCTACACTGCCCACTTATTGTGTGTGGTCCTTGGAGGGGCTATACTAATGAGTTGAGTTGCTTTCACCTCATGTACCCTAAAGGAGCCCATCACTACAGGGACTTTCTTCATGTCCTTGTGGTTGGTCACTTTGGGCTCTGCTGGACCATGAAAACATTGCTCCTTGTGGGTCCTGGCTCTGCTCCCTCATTTGCCACTGCTGAGAAGGTCCAAGTTGAAAAACTAGAATAGGAGGCTCCCACTGAGGTAGAACTAATGAAGGAGATAGAAGAGAACTTTTTTTTTTTTAAGATTTTATTTATTTGAGAGAGAGACAGAGCACAAGCAGGGGGAGGAGGAGGGGGCGAGGGAGAAGCTGACTCCCCTCCAAATGTGGAACCCGACACAGCTTGATCCCAGGACCCGGAGATCATGACCTGAGCCGAAGTCAGATGCCCAACCAAATGAGCCACCCAGGCTCCCTGAAGAGAACTTTAGTAGACAACTCAGGAAATGATATTTCAAGAAATGAATTCTGAGTACAGAAGTAACTTTTAGAATTTAAAAAAGAAATCCCATGATTTCTAAATAAAAAAATTCAGTAAACAAACTGAGAAAAAGGAGACTGAGGATGGTCACTGCTGAGAACTGAATTAATGTTCCAGAAGAGCAAGTGGAAAAAATATCTTACAGTTCAGACCAGAGACAGAGATGATAAGGGGGGGGGGGGGGGGGAGCAGGAAGAGGCATCTAGGAGACCTAACAGCAAGTAATAGAGTTCCAGAAAGAGAAAACGGTGATAGAAGAAATTTTTCTTGAGTTGAAAAAAAATCTCGAATGTGTAGATTATAAGGGCTTGCCAAGTCTGCAGCAGGATGAGGGAGGCAGGTGGAGGAGCACATGCCTAGATATATGCTGTTGAAATTCTGAAATTTAAGTGTAAAGAGAAAATCTTGCAAGCTACCAGAACAAGATATTTTCAAAAGAAAGAGAATTATTCTAGTACCAGACTTTTCATCAACAATATTGAAAGCCAGAAGACTATGAAAGAAAAATTTACAGGCTACTGAGAGAGAATTCCAAACCAAAAATTCTATATGTGGCCAAGATATCATTTATTAAGGCAAAGGAAGTACATTTTCAGACATGTAATGATTCAGAGAGGGGACAAAAAAAAATCTGGGTGAGACTGATATTCTGTTATGATATAATTATAGAAGATGTAGGAATAAATACAATTATTAGGAATAGAACTGTAACAAGCAGCACAATTAGAAAATAGATCCTCAATAGAGCCCCATGTCGGGCTCTGCGCGGAGCATGGAGCCTGCTTGGTATTCTCGCTCTCCCTCTCCCTCTCCCCCTGCTCATTCTCTTTCTCTCTCTCTCTCTCTCTCTCTCTCTCTCTCTCTCTCTCTCACACACACAGACAAATAAATAAATCTTAAAAAAAAAAGAAGGAAAGAAAATAGATCCTCAAAATTCACAAGGAGTGAAAGGAGAAACGGGCAGAAATGTGAACAAACTATCAAAATTAAGAAAAGGAAAAAAAGAACAAACAACATAAACAGTAAACTGAACATAAAGAGTAGGCATGAAACCAAGTTCAATGAACCAAATTCTCTTAACAAAAGACCAAGACTATATCAGATTGGCTTGACAAATTCATCTGTATGCTGTTTCCAAGAATAGACCTGTATCAGATAGGAACGATTTTGGCAGCAAGTAAAAGAAAACTGACAAATAATAGCTTAAACAAATAGGGGATTATTTTTTTCACATAAAAGGCCTGAGTCTGGCAGTTGCTGGGGTTAGTTTAGGGGCCTGATGATGCCATGAGGGACCCAGGTTCTTTCTGTTCTTCTGTCTCTCCATTTTTCTGTTCCACCATCCTTGGCTTGTTTGCCTTCATCCTCACGCTTGTTTATTATCTCAAAGTCACAAGCTTCAGACAGCATATCCACATTCAAGGGAAGAAGAGAGGGAGGATCAGCACTACCCATGCCTGTCCCTCTTGTGGAAAGTAAATGCTTTCACAGAAAACCCCAGGGGGCTTCTACGTATGTTGATTGGCCAGAACTCTGTCACAGAGCTACCCTCCAGCCGCAAGGGAGGCCCGAAAAGGGAAGAATTTAGACTGGCGTATTTCTGCCCTCAACAGAATCAGAGCTCTTTCACAAAGGAGAAAGGAGGAATGACTGCTGAGTAGACATACTAGGCAGTGTGGGCTCAATTATGCTGTAGTAACAACCCCCAGATCTCAGAGGCTTAGAACAATAAAAGTGTATTTTTCACTCATGCTACATATTTATTATGGATTAGGTGGGCTCTCTGCTCTGTGGCATTTGTCCAGTAGATAGAGAATGTGAGCCACATATGTTATTTACATTTTTCTAGTAGCCTTATTTTGAAACTATTTTTTTAAAAAGGTGAAATTGAGTTTAATAATATATTTTATTTAACCAAGGATATCCAAAATATTATTTCAACGTGTAATCAGTAGAAAAAATTAATGAGATAAAACTTACATTCTTTTTCTCCCACTAATTCTTCAAAGTCTGATGTATATTTTGTACTTAGAGCACATCTTCCTTTGCACTAGCTATCTTGCATGAGCTCAGTAGCCACCTGTGACCTGTAGCTGCCATTATCAGACTATATAACCTATCTTATCCTCATTCGTGGACTAGACTGAGGAAGGCCCATCTCTTTGCTTTCATCATTGTCACAGCAGGGCAAAGGGAATGTGGTGAATCACACTGGCTCTTAAAGTTTTCACTCAGAAGTAACTCACATCTTATTGGCCAAAGCAATTCACGCGACTACACCTAACTTCAGGGAGCATGGAATTGCGATCCTACCATGTGCCCGGAAAGAAAACTGGAATTATTTGGATAACAGGGCTAATTACTGCTACAGTAGGTGGCTACCAGTTTCTGACATCTAATATATAATGATTTTAAGAAGGTGGAAAATAGATGGGCAAAATGTAAAAAGAAGATCAAATAAAAAGAAAGCAAAGGTGGCAATATTAATATCAGACAAAACAAAATTCAAGGTCAAAAACATTAAACAGGAGAAAGAGGGACATTTTCTCATGATAATAGGTCTGATACATGAAGTGTATAATAGCCATAAACCTTTGTATACTAATCAACAGTACAGACAAATATATAGAAGAAAACCATTTAAACACGATAAAAAACTATCTTCTAAAAATATGGGGCACCTGGGTGGCTCATTTGGTGGAGTGTGTGACTCTTGATCTTGGGGTTGTAGGTTCAAGCCTCATGTTGGAGGTAGAGAGTACTTAAAAATAAAATCATTAAGGGGCACTTGGGTGGCTCAGTCAGTTGGGTCTGCTTTTGGCTCAGGTCATGATCCCAGGGTCCTGGGATCGAGCCCCACATTGGGCTCCCTGCTCGGGGGGAGCCTGCTTCTCGCTCTCCCGCTCCCCTTGCTGTGCTCTCTCTCTTAAATAAATAAATAAATAAAATCTTTACAAAAAGTCTTTAAAAAATAAATAAATACAACAAACAACATAGGAAAATCTTTGGTAGTTTCTGGCTAATGCAACAAGACAAGAAAATGAAACACTTGGTGTAAATATAAAAAAGATTGGAAACTAGTTTTATTTGCACATGACATGATTATTTACATAGAAAACCCAAATACTTCAAAAATAGAATCATTAAAAGGTTTTGCTATGGTAGCTCTTATTTATGGAGAAATATGCTGTGTTTCTAGGTAAGACTTAAAATTTATATAGAAGAAATAATATCTAAGGATAGGTGAGAAAATTTTGGGAAAAAATAATGAAAGATGACTTGCTTTAACAGATGAAGCCTTACTGTACACTGGATAGAAAAATATATTAGTGGAATTTACATGATGAAACTCTATTGTAAACCCTCAGCCCCAAATTCTGATGTGTTCCCCCAGTGAGCTTTCCTCATACTCTCCCTCCACCAATTTAAAAATCATTTTCGGGAATCTTTTGAGAATCGCCATTAGCAAAAGGACCATAATTGGTACCCTAGGTCTGTAAAGGATAAAAGAGATGAATCACTGCTGTCATAGTAAAAGTTTTATTTAAAATTAGTATTTGCCAAGGTGCCTGGCTGGCTCACTCGGTAGAACGTGTGACTCTAATCTTGGGGTTGTGAGTTCAAGCCCCATGTTGGGTGTAGAGGTTACTTAAAAATAAAATCTTTTAAAAAATAAATAAATAAAAATAAAAGTAGTATTTGCCTAGATGAAATACCATGAGACAATGTTGGTGCACCCCTGACAGGTTTCCTGGAGTGGCTGGCTGTATTTATGAGAGAATAAAGGCCTTTGAAGTCAGTTCCTCTGGCAGAGCTGAGCTGGACTCAGTGTTCATTAGTAGACTTCCTTCACTTAACATTTATCAAAATGGCTTTTTAAAGAATTAATTAACTCTGAGTAATGAATCATTTGCATTAACACTTGACTATTCAGTCTATAAGACCAGACCCCACGGAAAGAACCAGGGTCAAAGTGGGGCAGCTAAGGCCTAGAGGAGGACCCTCCGCCCTCCCTCAAACTGAGCTTGGTCAGGACCCCTGGAACACAGAGCCCAGGCCTGTAAGTTGTGGAACCAGATTCTAGGCCCATCTCTACAGCTGGCCTCCAGCTCTCCCTGCCTCTTGGAACTCAACAGGCCGGAGGCAGAGGGAAGGCTGTGGGCGGAATGCAATGGGTGGCAGCTAGGGTTCTATCCACCCTACACATTCACTTTACCCTGGAGA